GTTTAGCAATACCAGGTGCTATAAGATTTGTTGTGCAGTAGGTGTAATAAATAATAATTCGGTTTGTGTTTATCGGAGAGCCGAGTTCTAATTCCCGTTCGTTTCGCTATATTCAATTACCCCTCAAGTACCCTTAACAAAGGTACCAATCCACATATCGTCGGCCATTTTTATCTAAATAAAAAAACAAAAAAAAAATTCTAATCTAAAAATATTTTATGGCTTTAAATAACCTGCAAGGTTTTGGTGAATCGCAGAAAACGAATCAATCAATCAAAGACATCTGACTTGAGACTAAGTAATATCGTATAGAGTCATTTTACACATGCGCAGTCCCCTTCACTCAATTTGTCTGAGTAAGCTTATTGCAGAGTTTCTTTTTACGTTTATGTAGTACAGTTCCAACTTGACTGTCAGCGCATCCAGCATTCGACAAATTCTAAATGGGTTTCTGTTTTTACGGATTCTGTGTTTATCACGTCCGGTTTATTTCGTCAGTAGTTACGTTTGAAATGAGACCAGCTAACTGCCAATGTGTCTGTAAGCTTACCTTACCCTAAAAAGTATTGCGTGTAACCGCATAATTGTCCAAATCGTGTAACAGCATTACTTCCCATCCCAATGTTTAACATCTACCCCCCACCAAAAAAAAAAAAAAACAAAAAAAAAAAACAACAAAAAACACTAAATTAATTGTATTTCATTTTCCAGGTTTTCAAATAAGGTGTTTAGCCATCTTGATACCATTTGTCTTAAGAATCACTGAAAAGCCCTTTGAGTTATTCCGCTAAAAAGAGAACAGGTTTAATCGTTTTGTGTCAAACCCACTGTCTTCTAAAATGAGCAATGGTGAGAGGAAAATCATTCATGCCTTTAGTAATGGTACAAACATTCATACACTGGCTTCCATATTCAAAGTCCATTCAAGAACCATCATGGGAATGGTGAATAAGTTAAAAAAAAACCCAGGGAACAGTAGAGAGTAAAACTGAATCAGTCGATCAAAACAGGAAGAGGGATCATCATTTCAACTTAGATTTAAAGAGATGAATTAGAAAAGATCTAACTCAATGCATAAGACGATTAGAACGAGAGAGAGGAGTTTCAGCAATAGCAGTCCAAAGGGCAGTGAAAAAAGACTTGAAAATGAAATCCTACGTGAAAAGTCTGTGGCATCTTGTTACTTCAGGACAGAAAGTTAGAATGTTAGAGAGTGCAAAGATCATCTTGAATAAGTTGCAAAATTATCTTTGAATAATATATATATAAATATATATGAACTTTATTTCAATCCTTATGATTAATTAAAGATGAACATATGATTTTCGTTTGTGATGGATTTAATAACGAATCTTCTGCTAAGCTTGCTGAGTAATTATACATTCTTATGGCTCATATTAGAGCCCAACAGTGTTATAAAAACGTCGGAAAAATTCCGGTAAGATATCTTTAATCATCTCTAAGGTACAACAGGTCAAAGCTTAATCTAACAGCTGGACAATTCTGTTGTTACACTTGGTATGCATAGCAACCGCGAATTATTTGGGAAGAAGATGTAAGTACACAGAGAATGCGGTAGGTATAGACCCGTCCTGGGCTTGTCGATAAACTGTATCCGACAGTAAGGCCTGCGATCGGGAATTTTATGAGGAGCGCGTCTCCACCTCTTAATAGCTGTTGTTTTAGGATCTTCTCTGACACGAGGAAGTAGAAGCTGTCAGCTAGGGGCAAATAGTTACCCCACCCCCCTAAAAAAAAAAACTGGGGTTAAAACACGGTGAAAGTATAAGAAAAATGTTATCGTCAAAATACCAGCGGTATATTTCTACAGTAAAAAAAAATTACCATTAATACATTTTGACCCCCACCAAAATTACATTGTTTTAAAAAAATAAAAATAAAATATAAATTACCATCAATACATTTTTGCAAAAAAAAAAAAAAAAAAAACAAACAAAAGATAAAATAAAAAAAATGAAAATTATCAGAAATATAATTTTACCCCCAAAAATAAAAAATATCATAAATACATTTTTTCAAAAAAAAAAAAAAAAAAAAAATTGCCAGCAATATATTGTTACCTCACCTATGGATTGAACTCAAGACGTTTCCACTCAGAATGGAACTCACAATCCCAGAATTTTTAAGGCAATTTAGTTATCAAAGCTAGCTTTAGTACATTATTCAGAAGTTAACAGCAAACTTTCGACTCGTAAAGTTTTATTGCAACTTTTAATGTGATAGCCGTTAAATGATGATTGACTTGTGCATTGCCGGCCGATTGAGACGTTCACTCGTCAATGAATGACTTGTACGCAACTCAAGTGACGCCAGCCATTGACACAGCAAGGTCATATAGAGAGTCTGCTGGTTTACGTCTCACCTCAAAGGCCATTCAGATTGTGCTGATATAATCTGGCTGTGTGTTCGTGTCATTTAATGTTAAATAGCGGCAATGCTGATAATTCATTATTTATCATTGATGACAACATTTTACGAAAGCAAATCGAGTGAGAATGCGGTTTGAGTGGTTCGTCTTTGGGCTGCCTGACATTTATAAATGATCTGTAGGTACCGAAATCAAAATAAAAATAGTAAGGCTGCCTAGGAAAGTGGCCTTCAAAACGAAATGGCTCATTTTTAATCGTCTGCGAGAACCGTTTTTTGATTTCCATGAGCATGGCTGACGCTAACGATCAGGAGAGTGACTCATTGCAATTTCTCGGTTTAACACTTTCCGCTGACGCGAAGTGGCTCTACTACGGCTGGCAGATATTTGTAAAAGATCTGCGGATCTTTCTATATTTCCGAGATGAGGTATTAATAAGTCATTCTCCCGGTGGTTAGCATCAGCCATGATGACAGAAATCAAAAAACGGTTAGACGATTTCAAGTGAACAGTTTTCTTTTGGACGCCATATTCCGAGGCAACTTTATCATCTTCTGAATAGACAAAACAGAATATAATTGTCTATATTTCTGTGATGAGGTATTATGTACACTATTTACATTATTCGAACTATTGCCCTCATCTTTGTCGCCATATTGATTACAACGTTTCGGCTGTTGTACGTTCCGGCCTTCTCCAGGTGATTGGAATGTCGAACTGAACCCCTTATTTCGCTCACTGGGGTAGACTGTTCTAGTTCCACGTGCCATGTTTAATGGATGTCAGTTATCAGTTATCTCCTGTTAATTTCCCTCTGAAAGTTCTCCACTGCCTTAACCGGCAATTGAACTCACACTCTTTGGGTCCTGTCACTGGATCCTCGAGGGCACATGGCACAGTGGATAAAGGCGTTGGTAAACGCTTCTCCACTGCCTTAACCGGGTATTGAACTCACGCTCTTTGGGACCTGTCACTGGATCTAACTAATGCCTTTATCCTTGAGGTGAGGATATCTGTGTATGAATTTTTGGGTATTATAAACTTAATGAGTTCTCTGTAACCAGAACCAAATCCTCCTAATAATTTCTATCTGTGTATATCATTGCTTGAACCGGCTTCTAATGCTCTACAGTGAGCGGCTTGGTGAGAGTAGTCGTGGTTCCAGGGGGCACAGTCCTATGGTTACAGAGAGCTCAGTAAGAGTTCCACCACGGAATATGTGAGCGAGCGAGCGAGCGAGCGAGCGGCGCTATGTTGAGTCTGATTTGCAATCGCTTCGTCACCGAGGCCCGTTGGAACAGTTCATATGGTGTTTGCTTTCAACCTAGCTGTTAGGGTTTCATTTCTCGGTAGTGGATGCGCACTGTTGATAAGTCCTTAGATTTATTACAAGAGTTTATTTTTTTTTCCAAAATCAAAGTCTATATTTCTGGGGTGAGATAATGTCCTAATTTAAACGGCCGTCCAGTGCTTTCTGCATTCTGTTGAGGTTTCTATCAGACTCGATGAATATATATATATATATATATATATATATATATATATATATATTATTGCAAAAAAAAGATTCTTATATTTGTCTTGTCAATGTCCCCAAACTCGTCGGCTAGGATCTGTTTTCTTTTTGTCTTTATTCGTATATATATATATATACTAATTTCTGTTGCAGAGGCTCACTCTGGCATATTTTTGCTTTTTCGACAGCCACGGAGCTAACCTGTGATTACATTGTTAAGGTATTGATATATATGTGACACAATGAACGGAACCTTTTAGCTGTCTGTCTTCAAATACGTGACAATTTTGCCGCGTGTGTATTGCTATAATATTTACCATTTGAAACCTCGACCACTAAATTACGATCCCTACAGCTTTGAACAACATTACATTCCGGATCACCTCGGAGCATTAATCGGCTTTTGTCTGATAATGTTCAGAGGAACGCAATATACTTCCACGTTATATTTATGGCCATAGAGTCCAACAATGATTGCATCAAGCTTTTGAGAGAGAATCTAGAGAGGAGAGAGAGAGAGAGAGAGAGAGAGAGGGTAGAGAGAGAGAGGTAGAGAGAGAGAAAGAGAGAGTGAGAGTTTCAGATGGGTGACGGCAAAGGAGGAATGATTTTATAGCTTTTCTGTAAGTTTTTCAGCACGGGTAAATGAATCATTTCATCTTGATACATTATGCGCTGACAAGAAATTTTAAACGTTTTGTTCTTCAGGAAAGACACGAACAGCGAAGTGACAAGAGGTGAAACATTTCCGATCAGCTGTGTGTTTATCTATATATACCTATGCTTCTTTAACCTTATATATATATATATATATATATATATATATATATATATATAGAGAGAGAGAGAGAGAGAGAGATTGACGTAATAGGTAGATAGGTATAAATCCGAGCGCATTCATAATATTTAATATCTTTCACTTTATCTAGCTAGCTGGATACTATTATGAGCGCGTTCATAATGTTCATTATCTATCTATCTATCTATCTATCTATCTATCTATCTATCTATATATCTATATATAGATAGATAGATAGATAGATACCAATCTGAGCTCGATCATAATGTTTATTATCTATCTAGCTAGCTAGCTAGATGTTAATCCGTTCATTCTCTAGCTATCGAGCTCAAATTGATCTATCTATCTATCTATCTATCTATCTATCTATCTATCTATCTATCTATCTATCTAGGAAGCTAGATAGATATCAATCGGACTTCATTCAGATTGTTCATTATCTAACTAGTTATTTGCTTGCTGGCTAGCTTGCTAGATAGATTTCAATCTGAGCTTATTCAGAAAGTTCCTAATCTATCTATCTATCTATCTATCTATCTATCTATCTATCTTCTATCTATCTATCTGTGTTTTGTTCATATCATTGCAAGTAACTTTTCATTTAAATATCCATCGAAACGTAATTAAATCTATTTATATTAGTTTACTCTCGTCTTTCTCTTCCTCCCACCTCCATCACTGGCAGGTTATTATATATATATATAATTCGCAATACATTTATGTGTGATAAAATTCGACCATTGCTTGTTAATATACGAATCAAATGTGTTCTTGTCGATCTATAGAAATACGTAAATATATTTATCCCTCTCCTTCACTCCCTCTCACTCACCCTGTGTGTGTGTGTGTGTGTGTGTTATGTATGTTATGCATGTATGCATACAATCACGTTCTTTCATCAACATACACATGTATATATCTGTGGTCATATACACTTACACATATATAGTGCAGAGCGAAAACACACGTACATATAGATACACACACACTCACAATCACTCACACGCATTTAATTTTTACATATACGCACACACACACACACACACACACACACACACATATATATATATATATATATATATATATATATATATATATATATATATATACGATACATTCGATATATACATTCGATACGCCAGAGCAGTTATGAATGTACGAGATTCATGGAAGATTGTAGTTTATAACAGTAAATTCGACCTTGTCTACCATAAGGTTCATGGTGGCCGAGTGGTTAAGGCATGTCAGCGTATATGACAGTTCCGTATAGGATGCAGGTTCGAATCCTGTCTATGAACGAATATTTTCTATGAAAATTTCTCGGACATTCAGGCCGGTAAATGTTATTTAATACTGTTTATCATAAACAGAGCATTTGCTTAAATACTTGTATCTATAAAATAACAACGTTAAACATAAATAAAAAAAAAATGTCTTTAATATATATATATATATATATATATATATATATATATATATATTATTAGTAAATCAATTCAGCGCATCGATGCTGATTCGACGACTGACATATATGTGTATCTTTTCAAAAGAACCATATACAGGGATTGAGAAGCGGCTGAAGATAAACACTCGTTGAAAAAGAGCAACAACGAAATATACATTAACATAAATTCTAACCACCTCCTCACGTATTGAAACAAATACCCATATCTATAGATAAAAGAATTTCAACAAATACTATAGGATAAAAATATTCAATAAAAATAAAAATAAACAAACTTACGAAGCAGTTCCAAGAAACAGGGGATATTCAAATAAACTCGAAGACAAAAATTTCCCTTAAAACAGAAAAAAAATTATCAAACAAAAAATTATCAAACAAAAATCCAATCAAAATTAGTTAGCAATTAATAACTAGTAAATAGTAAAATTTGCTCAACCAACCCAATAATAATTGCAATGACAATAATAATAACATGCAGCGATATAACATCATTGAATTTAACTTCAGAAACAAAGAAAATTACCCATTTAACAATAAATGATTGTGGGAATAAAATAAAAATACAAAATAAAATAAAAATACAAAATTAAATAAAAGTACAAAATTAAATAAAAGTACAAAATAAAATAAACATTAAAATCTCCCAGGAGTCCTCTGACAGGAAAGACAATTTACGCATGTGCAAAAAAAGAGAGATTTTTTGGTGCCAAAGATAAACTAGAAGAATCTGTCTCTTTCTCGGTTGAACCTTTGACTGGTGAACACGTGCCAACTGTTCGGGAAGGAAATTCCCCAACAAGAGCTCGTTGGAATCCAGAAGAAGGAAATAAAATCAGTGTCCTAAACTGTCCCTCTAGTGTGTCCGTATCCTTTCGTCTTTTCTTTGTCAATTTATTTCAGCGACGAAGGCAATTCAACAATTTTTTTGATGTTTAGGTGAAAGAATCAACCCAGCAGTAATAGCCATAACATCCACATGATAACACAATATACAAAGCCATCGTAAAAAAATAACATTGACACAGACGAAAAGATTTACATAGGCGCCCCAGAAAAAAACTTTCAAACCACAAAATATCATTTGAAAAAAAATAATACAATACAACCCTATCAAAATACATATAAAGTAAAAAGAAAAAAAAACTATGTAAACCAAAATTAAATGGAAATTTATAAAATAACAGCCCCATACAGTATTAGCAGCAAAAATGGTAAATTATGCTTAGAGGAAAAATCAGCAATAATTAATGTTATAAACCAAAATAAACACTTAAACAAGAATACGGAAATAATGGGTAGATTTCGGCATATAAATGAATACCTACTTTCCTATCTAATCACCAATTAAAAATAAACAAATAAATGTAAATAAATTAAATATGATATAAAATTTAGATAAATAAATTAAATAAATATAATGTAAAATTTAAATAAATAAATTATATAAATATAATATAAACTTTAAAAGAAATAAATAAATGAAGTTAATATAATATGCACTTAATTTATTAATAAATAAAGGAACAAATATTGAAGAAACACGAGCTTTTGTTTGCATTTAAATATAAATATATGCATATACACACACATTCACAAAAAAACGAACAAACCAAAACCTGATAATTAATATCTCAATAAATAACACCAAGGGAAAAAAAAAAGTTAGTATAAAGTACAAGTATGAAGCAGCTTAATCTAACATGTTTCACTTTATTAAAGGTTCTTTAGAGATCAAGATAGAAATGATAAAATGCAAAATATATATATATATATATATATATATATATATATATATATATATATATAAAAGTGAACATAGAAGTCAACACTTAGAGGCGACAGTCTGTTTCATGCTATATGCAATCGTCAGGCCACATATGCTGTTATTTTTTCTCGACTATTTATATATATACGGGTTAGTGGTGCATTGTGGGTATTCTATTATGGCGGTTATTTTTTCCGGAAGTCGTTTGTTTATTTATTTGGGTCAAATTATATTGCTTGTTTTTTATTTTTTTTTTTTATTTTATTTTATTTATTAACGTAGTAAAATTTGTTTATATCACTTATTTAACAGTTTTGTTTTGGTTTGAGAATTTAATTAAAGCTATTTGTTCAATTTTGGGGTTGGTTGTTTGTAGTTCATTCTATTTATTATTTTTTGCGGGAACAGTTTTTAATTTGGGATTGGTTTGTCTATTTATTTACTTGGATGAATTTAGGTCAATTTATTTTAATGTATATTTTTCTTTTTTTTTTTCGGTTTTAAGCAACATAGTATTTATTTATTTTTTTTTTCTATTTTTATTAGTGTATTTATTTGTTTTTTTCATTTTATTTTTTCCGTTTTTCATTTTTTAGGTTACGTAGTAAAAATTTATTTTCATGCCTGCATTTTGAGATGAGCTCGGATCTTTTATTTAATAAATTATTTTGGTCGGGGAAAAAAATGATAACTATTTTTTCTCCAAGCAAAAGTTTTTCAAAGGAGACACACGCTCTATCTAAATATAGCACACCTTAAGACTATATTTCTTCATATATATATATATATATATATATATATATATATATATATATATTTATTATATTCTTGACCTTGTATCGGTTTTTCACCCTGGTCAGGATTTTGACCGGCTTCCTCCCATTTGTCAAGTATTTCACGGACCATCGTTCCCCACGCTCGCCGATCCTGAGCCAGGTCACACGAAATGGCGAGCCAATGGCGATTTCATCGTCGAAGAGCAATTATCGCTCATAAAGGAAGATTCATTGGGATTTGATTCAATCTTATGGTCCTGCCCAAGGGAAAAGGAAAAAAAACGCCCTGTTTGCCGCAGATTTTCCACAGACGCATTGAAGAGCGACCCGAATTACCGGAACAGACACCTCCTGGATTTTCACCAGAGCCAGAGCCAGAGCCCCTTTAGCCGGGTTGCGGCCCTAATACCGCTGGGTGCCAGACCAATCCGCCTTGGGTGGCCCTACCAGGAACCGAAGTTCCCGACGGCATAGCCCTGGCACTATCACGTTGCCACCACCCTGACACGTTGAGGAGGGGTTGGACTTTTTAGGGCGGATATATATATATATATCCTTTGAGGTAAGGAAAACAATGCTAAATTGTTGTAGAGTAGTTTCATAGTGGAGGCTTGTATTTCACTAAGTCGGTCCTAAAAAAGGTTCGACGTACAAAACGTTAGGAACTTGAAATAATAGTTAATGACGCAGCAATCTAGTTGTGGTGGTTGATTCTTTAATGTCCGACATCGACTGACTCACCAACTCACTGAGGATATTTATCACCCCCCGCCACGAGGGCATCATAACAAGGCCGGTTTAACGTGGGCTCGGCCAAAAATATCAGATTTTAAAAGGGAGAAAAATGTATAAACGGTTTCAGGGTCGGTCCACCTCCCCAAAGGAGACTCCGCCCATCAGCGCAGCCCCAATCAAATTTTTTAAATATCCCAGGCAGAGAAAACCGGTCAGCTCGTCGTCCGACTTCAGACTGAACGTAGACCAACTCACTAAATATACTGACTGACAGACCTACTATACTTATTTGTTATGATTTATTAAAAAAGTTTCTGTGAATCATGTATGTTTAAATTTCTCAACGTCAATTTAAATATATTTTTTATGGGGTTATTGGCAATATATATATTTATATAATATTTGTGTGTATTATTGTGTGTATATGTGTGTGTGTGTGTGTGTGTGTATGCTATTGTTATAACTGTAAACAAAATTGTCCAAATCGTGTAAAACCAACATTGTACATTTGTTAGATTAAGCTCTGAACTGTTGTATCTTAGAAATGATTAAAGATAACTTACTGGAATTCTCCGAAGGTTTTAGAGAACTACTTTGAGCAATAATTAATGAATAATTAATCTCCAAACTTAATAGAAGAATCGTGTTGAAATTGATCATAAACGAAAATGACATGTTTCTTATTAATTAATCATAGGATCGGTAGCTCAATAATATGTGAAATACAATTTGAAATATAATTATATATATATATATATATATATATATATATATATATATATATATATATTATTTCAGGATCATTTTCCATTTTATTTATTCGCCCTCTATAACCGGTAAACAAAGAT